AGGTGAGGGACTTACAGATGGGCTTTGTACACCTCCTCCACAACCAGGCTGCCATCAGGTTTCCGAGCGGGAAAGAAGTCGGCGTGGAGAAGCTGGGGGTCAATTGGGACAACGGCAGAAGAAGGCGGTGTTGATGGAAGCAAGGGAACGTTGGCGTTTGACGCCGCTGATGCGGCGGGTGTGTTCGTGCCTGGCGTCAGGGCGTGCAGGGTTTCGTTATCGTCGCTACAAAGGCTCATGTTGCACGGATTAATTGTGCATAAAGTAGTAGGGACCGCGAATAAATAACGAAAAAGGCGAGAAATGGTGGTGGTACAGAGGTAAAGAGACGAATACCGCATGCGTTTAGGTGAGCTGCCTAGCGGTCACCAGCATATTGTGACCGCCTGCCAAATTTGGGACGCCGTCACCAGAATCTGTTGACATGGCAGCTTAGAACCCTGCTGGGGTCTCCTTGTTCTCGTCAATTGCATCCCCTTCTGAGTTTTTCGTTCTGCAGGCACTTGGCACGTACCTCCATCAATTAAAAACTTTGAAAACAGATAAATCTAGAAGCGAGTCCACTGATCTAGAACGTAAACGTACTGACGTTGAGGAAACAGCCCAATATCCCCGAGCTTGCTCAAATACAGCACTTTACTGAGCTGAAAATTTGCAAGGAAACACTGATAATTGCGTCCACCAGCGGATCAAGGAGACCCCAGCAGGGTTCTAAGCTGCCATGTCAACAGATTCTGGTGACGGCGTCCCAAATTTGGCAGGCGGTCACAATATGCTGGTGACCGCTAGGCAGCTCACCTAAACGCATGCGGTATTCGTCTCTTTACCTCTGTACCACCACCATTTCTCGCCTTTTTCGTTATTTATTCGCGGTCCCTACTACTTTATGCACAATTAATCCGTGCAACATGAGCCTTTGTAGCGACGATAACGAAACCCTGCACGCCCTGACGCCAGGCACGAACACACCCGCCGCATCAGCGGCGTCAAACGCCAACGTTCCCTTGCTTCCATCAACACCGCCTTCTTCTGCCGTTGTCCCAATTGACCCCCAGCTTCTCCACGCCGACTTCTTTCCCGCTCGGAAACCTGATGGCAGCCTGGTTGTGGAGGAGGTGTACAAAGCCCATCTGTAAGTCCCTCACCTACTATAATCAACGTGCCTAGATATCTCATCTTGTTTTCAGCTTCACCATCAGAAAGAGAGAGCCCTTGCGGGCGGCATGCTCTCACTTCAAGATTCGTTTTGCAATGCGAGCCAACCTCGATTTTCTACGGAATGCCCTTGTCCGCCACTGGTGCGTGTGTTCCTCGAATCCGCTTCTAATTTTTTCCCAAGCTGCTTCGCAGGTATCCTGCAAGAGCAACTACAAACCCATCACCCGATCAAGCTGTGGCCGGTCCATCGAAAACCCTCTCTATCACCATCCCACCACACCCAACTCACTCTCTTGGCCAATTGACTGGCCAAACTCATCCAGAACTTCTTGAAGCCGATCTTGATATCGACGAGGATGTGTTGGCGAAGCAGTATGATGTGGGTGAGGGGGTCGCGGAAACCATATTTGGCGCCCTTGACACAGGTGGCCTCGAAGAGGAGGATGAGGATGAGGAGTTGGAGGACATGGACCTGGACGACGATGGTATGCAGTTTTCTTTCATCGTTACTTTCAAAATAATCAAGCTATCCCTTTCAGCAACCTATGAGCAGTTTCAGACAAGCGTGCGCGTGTCAGCGGCTCAAAGAACGGAGGCCAACAGGAGGGCGGGAGGTAAAAAGACCCAGAAATGTGTCGTGAAGTCGTGGAATGTAAGTCTGTGTGCCAACCTTCTTGTTCTATGTGTTTACCGTCACTACCTTGCAGATTTTTCAAAAAGAAGCTCTCGCAGCGGGAAAGCTCCGCGACGACATAGTCGACGAACATGCCCTGCTCCTCTTCATCGACTTTTGTGCTAGACGTTGCAAGCGAGACCGTCGAGGAGAGTACATACCGAACACTCGCATTGGCGCCGTAAGTACCTTGATATCTCTATTATACTTGTTGAAAACAGGCTTTACAGTCTCAAATTAAGAAAGAGTTCTTCGGCGCCCTACGTATCCGAAAGGTGCAAGACACTCGGGATCCAACTCTGGCTATCAAGCGGCCTGCCACGACCGTGCATGTTTATGATGCAGTCAAGACTTGCATGGACGAGGCCCTACAAAATGCACGCGAGTGAGTCCCAATTCCATCAATGTTAACGTGGCGTGATGAACTTTTCGCAGGGGGCTCATTCCTGCCGAGGATGCCCCAGACATCATCGCTAACACGTTTCTTGCCCAGCTGTCAGACGAAACCCTGACACGGATCCGATATGGTTTTCTGGAGCACCAAGAGCGTACGTCTGTCTGACCTAACAGCTATCCCCTCATTCATTTCTTTCTTTTTCAGTCAAGCCAACTATCAACAGACACCTCGCATGGACAATGATGAATGCGAGTGGTAACCGCGGAGACGACATCCGGGCACTGTGGCTGTGTGAAATGCAACCGTACCAATTCTTGCATCCTAATGGTGAAACGACTATCCCCGCCGTCCTCGGTTTGCAGTCGGATATGGAACAGAAAGCTCGGTCTAAAGGAATGAAGACAGTAAGCAACTCTTCATCCCTTTGGACTACCCAGTATAACATCAATATAGGCAATAAATCCGACTTATACATGTTTTATTGCACATAGGAACCCGGAAATGTGTCCTTTGGGCGCGTTCGCATTGTACTTACACTATATTCATGATGTAGCCAACATAGATAGTAAATATGATATTGACTACACGGTGAACAAGTCGTGGCGCAATGTAAGTGTTTCTACTTTTTCCATAAAACATTGATGCTTAACTCTCTCTTTCCAGCTTCGATTAATCCATGGTTCATCGGCCACTGTCCCGTATCATGAGACTGCACTCCAGAATATTTTTGTCCAGTCCTATCGGAAGGCCGGCGTCGAATCAAATCTAAAAGCTCACCTTGCCCGTCATATGTTGGGATACCATCAAGAGAAGACGGGGTATGTTCTCATTTGTCTCATTCTTTTCCCTCAGTGATAATGATAATAGCGTACGAGCTGAGGATACATCTAAACTTGGATGGTCGCGTGATACCTACCAGAACACCTACGCGCCAGCACTTCCCAAACCGGTATTTCTATTTATTTCTTTGTTTTTTGACTCGCACTTGACGGTCATATGAAGGCGATATTAGGTGCTCATGGTTACAAAGTCCACGAGACTTACAGCCCACCATGGACCCAGGTTGATGTGCCCAAGTCGTTCTTAGAACTAGTCTGTCCAATGGCAGAGAAAAACATCGAATTGGTGAAAGGTAAGTTGACATTCATAATCACGCTACAAACTGGGTCCTGAAATCAGCCATAGGCCTCAAAGATCGAGTTGGTGCGACAAATTATTGGGAAATGGTTGTCTGGCTTCGTCCGTATCTATTCCAGGTAAGTCCAAGCCTCAAATTTACTTTTAGACCCCTTTAACATACTGATTATCCTTGTTTAAGGCTGCTGTGGCTATATACCAAGCTCAACCGAATTCCAAGCTGTTCCGACTTCCCGCGCTGGCCCGTGACGACGTCCGCCTTTGGATGCAAAGCACCTTCCCTGCCCATCTCGCTGCCATCAACTCGAGCACCGCTAGCCCGGTATGTCTCGAGCGCCTTCAAAACAAGATCATGCGTAAATCTCTGGAGCAACTTCGCCAAGAGAGCAGCATGCAAAAGGACATTTTGCGCAACAATACAGCCCAAATCGAAAAGCTTACACAAATCGTTCAGCGCCGCACATCACAGTGGACTCCGGCAAAGGCCATTTCGTATGATACCTCACGCCCTTTGTCGAAGGCGGTTGCTTGCATCTCTCGGCAGCTTGACTTTCGATCGGACTCAACTCTGCCACTTACGGCTGTGGGCAATCTTGGTCCCCCAGCATTTATTGGTTTGGAAACTCGAGCCGCCGAAGACACAGGTGTTTACCTTGCAGCCGATAACAGCCTTCGTGGGTTTATTGTGCCGTCGCCTTATTTAGCAACCTCTCCACGCCCCCGAACGGAGGTTGACCTTATGCTGCCACCCATCATTGCATTTTGTAAACCCGGTATGTTCCAATATCTAATCAGAACTTTATTGAAGTTTTATACATATAGGTGATGATCTCCTCTTGGAACACCCAGTTCTCGGGCAAGGATCTGTCCACTGGAAGGATGTCTTTGCACAAATTAAGCAACCTGGGCCACTTTGGGACACGTGGAAGCCATCAAAGACACTCGATCAGATGTCGATTCAGGACATCTGGGATTGTTACAACATCGGCGAGGGTGTAGAGGAGAATGGAGTTCAAACTGGGGTTAAACCCCCACTTCGGTTAGTCGAGCAAGTGTTTGGTTCAGAATGGCGCAAAGCTGGAAAGGTAAGTGTTTTTTGGAGATCAAGCCTATCAATACAGCTTACTTGCCTTTAAGGACAGAAAGGCCTGGCAACAGTTCCGCGAGATCCCTGAGTGGATTGACCTCGAGACGAAGAACAGGTTCACGGCTTCGCAAGCGATCATCAAACTTGAGGGGAAAAGATCAGTGCCCGGCAAATCACGTCTGTTAGGCACGAGCGCGCTGGTCGAACTTCTCGCCACTGAGAGAAAAGTGGCCGCAAAGGTATGTTAGTTTCATGACTAAATTGAATGTCATGACCTACATATTTCTACAGTCCACGAAAGATGGCAATATTTCAAACTCAACAAGTACAGCAAGCTCGATTAGTGAAGAGACAACGTCAACAGCATCGGGCTCGAAGCGCCGCATGCCAACAGTTGGTGGTCGACCAAAGCCAAAGAAAGAACGGAGATCGTAGGCAAACCCATGAGTCGCTCATTGTATTCCATTATTTCCATTCATCATTGTTTTGTTATCTCGTCAATACATGCCTTTATAATCACAAACCTGGATCCTTTGAGACACGAACAGGCTGGATCTGAATCATCTCTGACATTTCCTTGAACCTTCCACTCTAACTTAACCTCCCAAGAATGGGTGTCCATGGCTTATGGCAGGTTTGGCTGTTGTCCCTTGTCCAATTCACAGCTACACCTCAAATCATGGGACAGGTGTAAGCCACCTTGTGACTGAATAGCGTGCCAATGTAAATAACAACTGTGGAGTATTGACCGCGCGAATAGCAACCAGGAAATTCCGCGCCTGGCATGAGGCTCTAGCCACAGTAGGATGCGAGCCATCGATCCTTGCAATGTGGCCAGCACCAGCAAGCCTCATCAGCAAGCAGTTCTATCCTCCTCAAGGTGTCCGTAAAGGTGGGCTATGGTACTCTCCCCATCTGCCTGACAGCTGTACCAAAAACAACAGCCATATTGGTGGGACCCATGAGTATCACGTTGTCCATAGGTGTATGGGCTGTGAACAGAATTGTGGCTGAGGCATTGTACCAGCTGGTATACGACGGGGCTGGCCAACAAACTTTACAATAAATGAATGTCATATTATATGTTTTGTGAATAATATAGGTCTACGAAACACTGGCATCCCGATACCGTCGTGACTCATGCCAACCCGCTTGTCCCAGCTCCTCCCGTGGTATCATCACCTGCCGATGCCCCAACTACTGACATATTGGCCAATGCTACACCAGAAGTCAGAGTGGCCATAGTTGCCCGAATTTCCGCGAAAGGGACGCCGGCATCGTTTGCATTGTCGATCGTCTTCTCAACTTCTAACTTGGTTTCTGAAGGTTGGGTTTCTGATGCGAGAATTTCGATGTCGAGGTTAGAGTGGCCATGAGATGCCACGTCGACATTCAGAACTTCATGGAAGAATCTGTGAGACAGGATTAGAATGATACACAATGCACCGGGGTTAGCTGACCTCGTAATCTTACTTGGATTGTCTCTGAAATTGGTTCTGATAGTGGAAAGCCGTGCATCAACCTTTGAATAGAAGGTAGAGCCGGGAAAATCAATGTACTCGGCTCGCTAACGAAAGAGAACAATCAGCATGTTTTCGGTGAAGAGAAAAGACATACCAGGAGGGCCAGACGTGCACATAGTTGAATGGAGACCGTCATTGATGTGTTGGCTACCACAGCTTGTGCAAGGGTAAAAATATGTTGATGTTCATCCTTCGTCTTTCCGACGAGGCTCGCAGCAATCTGGAATAGTGAAATGAGTACAGGGCCTTTGAAAACAAACTTGACTGACTTTTTTTTTCAACGTGGAGCGATTTTGAGTTAGGTGGTATCGGATTCGCTCTGTAAGCTTGCCCGTTGCAGCAGGGTTTGAAAAAACTGCATCAGGTATGTCCCAACGTAAGTTCCGTGTGATTGTCTGATGGAGGGGATGAGGGGAAGAAACACAGTGGGACGAGGTATAACTGACCCAAAGGTACTTTTCTGCCACACTATCCTTGTACCCCTTGAGCTTCGGTGAGAGCATTACAAGTCGACTGTAGGTTTGGATGTTCGTCTGAAAGAAATGCAGGATAAGTGAAACAAAAGGACTCTGGTGCTCGTACCTCAGTGGTGCTTGATGGAACCCAGGACGCGAGGGCGCGAGCGAGACTAGCTTCGTTGTCGCGGCTTTGGATACAGGCCACGAATAACATGAGGAAGCGCTCATCCAAAGGACGCTAAGACACGTCAGTGGTCACATTCTGCAAACTAAACAAAACGGACCTTGACAAAGTCGAGGACTTCCTGCATTTGGGCGGGTTTGAGGTTTTTCTCCACTGCGTAACGCCTCGCAAAGGTCAAAATGTTCGTGTGAGGCATTGGAGTGGCCGGTACAGATGTTGTAAAGTCTTCCGTTTCCGAATTGTCATCGCCATCGGTGCGAGCATGTTTACGTGCTGGAGTTTCAAGAGCTGGAAGTTCGGGTGGTGGAGGAGAGCTGAAAGAGTGGCCCATTAAGTCATCAAGACGAACCATGGTGGGGATGGACTTACAAACATTCGATATTCAGGTCTGTTCCAGTTATAATGAGAGGCTGCTTCGCAATGCCAAATCACCAAGGTGATCAGCTTATTTGCTGATGTTTATCTTGTGCACATGCCAATCGCAACATGGTTTCCTCAGCCTGTTCGTTTTTTCATGTGCTTGCTGGACTTACAGTGATCAAGCCTGTAGGGTCGTGATCAAATTTGGGTCAGTCACTCCTCCACTTTGACCGACATGTCAGATGATGGATACTTGCCCACCCAGGATCTCGAAACAGTGCCGGATTGACCATCTTTACCGAGACAAGCTGCCCTCAAAAGTGTTTACCACACTCACCAGTAAGTAATTTGGTTTCGTTTACTTTTTCAGTGCGTTGAGTCTCATTTTTGCTGAGGTTGCTCTCCACTGGTGGCGCTCTCAACTCCCAAACAACGGATTCTCAATATCTCGGAGGCCTAGAGCACGCTACCATATGTCAAGATATAGCTCTTGAAGAGAAAGCCTTTCGTTCTATTGGAATCCAGACAGCACCGACTGGTAAGTCCCATGCATTTGTGCACCTGGCTTAACTTATTGGACCAACAAATAGATGTTGAATGCAAAAGCTACGAGGCCTACCATGCTCAAGTGCGAAACCTCCAGGCTGAATCCAATCGCTATCGAAACCTTTACATTACGGCCGAGCACCATCTTCGCAAACTTGAAGTCAGGATTTTATCGGCGAATGGCGACCTTCCATCCCCAGAACAATCTCAATTTCCTCTCGATAAATCTTCACCCCTTTGCCCAGCCACTAAACGGGTACTGTCAGACAGCGACGATGATGGTTTTGATGGTTACGGAGATGCAGAGGACCCAGAGGAGACCTGTCCCCAGGCGGCTTTGTGGCGGGTGATAACTGCGGATGCACCTGTGCATAAAAGAACACGTATCGTTTAATTCTGTGCAGATACTGTTTGTAGTATACTGTATTGCCATATGAGTGTTTTTGGAACTTTGCTGGCTCTGCATTTGTGATTGGACTCTTTTTCACCCCGACCTGCTCTGCACACACAACCCGCTGACATCACAACATGAATTCCTCTGCGCGTGGGTGATTTTTCCTCGCAATGATCAGCATCTCACTGCTCATGTATAGTCTTCGAGGAGGATTCCACCTCCGGAAAAGTTCGTTGCCTTGTGTGCGTAAAATATCATGGCATTTCAGAGAAATGGATCAGCAAGAAATCTCGCAATGCTCATCTCACTTTTTCGGATCGTCATCGAAAGGCAATTGAAGCCGATGGGCTCGAGAGATTAGATCCAGCACCACTCGAACAGGCAAATCGTGATACCATTGCTACACTTCGAGAACAATTTGCCAGCATCTCTGCCCCTCTCATCCTGGAACCCCCCTTGACACCTAAAGCCCTGGATAACTTCATCGGAACGGCATATCAGGACGTGTTCAATGGCCTCACAGATAACATGGAAGATGTGCAGTTCTCTGCAGGTGAAAATCTACAGGGGTCTTCATGCAGGCCGCAAAATCTGCAACAGCAACTTCAAGATTTTGGCCTCTGGGACGAGGAGGCCTTAGCACAAGAACTCGGTTTTGGCTCAGAGCGCCCGCCAGAGTTAATCCGGTCTGACAACGATGATACATTGACAAACGTGATGCAAGAAATGAGTATGCCCATTCCTCTCCCATATTCACAACTGATTAATGGGGACTCCCAATTGGTTCTAGATATCAATGGAGGATTACGTGCTGAAAGGATTATTGGATTTGAGGAGCCCTCATTGAAAAACGACACCATGGCTGACCCATCAAGTCGTTGGTTTCCTTACCCAACTAAAACAGTACGAATTTCACACCACTCCCATAGAAATATTCATCGCATGTCTTTAGATGTTCATCTTGGATACCATTGACAGTCTTCCACGCCTGAGGATTTCAGACTCTCTGATGAAGATATTTTTGTGGGGTCTTCGGGAGTCTGGTGCTAGCGATGTTCCATCATTCAACACTCTTCGTCAGATGCAGAATAAGCTGCGCACACAAGTGTCTATCCCAACAAAGATGTTCACGTCAGTTCTGGGTAACGTCTTTTGGGTCAACAACCCTGTGGATATTGTGCGCAAAATCTTTTCCAACCCACTGGTCCGACCACACCTTCACCTTTATCCCGAGGAGCCTGCAGATGGTATTATAACGGAAGTTTGGCACTGTGAAAAATGGCACAAGGGGATGGAGCTCTCCCAGCTCACTCCAATGTTTGATGCTGGTTCCAAGCACTTCTACGTGAATGAATTTTGTCGCACCAGGTCTAAAACAATTGTCATTCCGAAAAGGTGGGTTGTCAGAGGAGGAGAACTTTGTGCTGATGCATTTCTGTGTGAGCTACATAATGTGGTACATTTTATTATGATTGTAAACCTTGAACTGACTTCATAACTATTTCTAGGCCACAATTCACATCAATGATTCCCGTGTACACAGCATCAAGGCAACTGATCTTGTTGACAACTTTCCTGACCTCCTGGCTACCGATTTTCACCCGATATCTACCCAAGATGCTCATATGTGCCTCATGCCAAATCCATTGCGTAAACTCGCAGATGGTGATCCGTTATACACAATTCTCATCGATAAGTGGCATGACGATGTCTCTGGCAATGTATCGAAGTCTTATAATCTCCATTACAACACGTACATGGCCATTCGCAACCTTCCTCGAAAACTTCTTCAACAGGAATTCAATGTCAACTTTATTTGTTCATCTCCTCATGCTGGTCCAGCAGAGCAGGCTGCAGCCATAAGAGGTTTAGTCAAGTCAGTACTCCATTCAATTGAATTTTGTTGAGTTTTAAAGGGGCTTTTTTTTCTAGGGAGACGCATACTTGTCCTGCTCAAACTTTTGATGTAAAAACTGGCAGTACCTGCAAATTTCGCATCTTCAACCACAGTGGGCCCTCCGACAACCCTATGCAATCTGAAGAGTGTGTTCATATTGGTGCAAATGGAAATTTCAACTGCCGAATATGCCATGTTGGTGGAACCAAGTTAGAGAAAGAGAGTGACACTGGTTTTCATTCTCTCTTCTTTGTAAGTTTCAGAAATCTTATTTCAAGATTTGACTGATCACGATTGACAGCCTGGAATGCCACGTTCAGTGGTTGAGTCTGCTGCAGCAGTTGATGAGCAGCTCCGACTTGCAAGTCATGGAGTTGCTGTCCGTGTATCTGAGCTACAAACAGCTACAGGTAAGTCATGGTGTTGCTATCCATGTATCTGAACTACAAACAGCTGCAGGTACCAAAGATAAGCTTGCACAGAACACCATCGACAAGCTAATTTTACGAGCAAATGAACTACGCAAGGAACATCCATTGCGATCAAAGGATGACATTTCTACCTCGTTGATGAAATGGGTTGGAGCCAATCGAGAAGAGCTTATCAGTCCGTCCCTTTGCACAGAGGGTATGTTATTTCCATATTTCAATAAGCTATCATCTGAATTATAAAACCAGGATATGATCCCCACCTTGACACACCAATTGAACTTCTCCACACAATTCTTCTTGGTATTGTCAAGTATGTTTGGCATTCCACACATACCTCCTGGAAAGACTCTCAAAAAAAACAATTTTCACTTCGCTTGCAAGCAACAAATGTCTTGGGGCTAACCATCCCTGCAATCCGTGCAAATTATATCATGAACTATGCAAACTCTCTCATTGGTCGACAATTCAAAACAGTTGTCCAGACGTTGACATTTCATGTGTATGATCTGGTAGAGCCTCTTCAGTATGACCTGATCAAGGCTGTCAGAGAACTCACTGCCCTTCTATGGATTACATCTATTTTGGACCTTCAACAATATGTGGTATGTAACAATTCAGCTTGAATTTCAATCGCAAAAGAATTAATTATTCATCCTAGGCAGATTTGGACCAATGTGTTGCAAATGTGCTGGATTTATTTGCCTTGAACGATCCTAGCAAAATTGTTGCCAAGATCAAGCTTCATCTTCTGACACACGCAAAAGCCCATGTTATTAGATTTGGTCCTCTTATTGGCTCATCAACAGAAATTATGGAATGCTTCAATTCCATTTTCCGAGCATGCTCAATCCTATCAAATCATCAGGCACCCAGCCGTGACATCGCCATTCAGCTTGCAGAATTGGAAGGTGCTAAGCACTGCCTTACTGGTGGGTGGTGGAAGCAAAGTGATGGAACATGGGCTCAAGCGAGCCCACATGTACGCTCCTACCTTCTCAGTCATCCTGTCATCCAAAATCATCTCGGATGGTCTGAGCATCATGCTGATCCTCCAGGTATGTTTAAATTATTTCATTCTTGACTCCTTGTATCTGTTGTCTGATTGGCAATCAAGGAACTGTCCGGCCTATCCCTATTCATCGACGTCGTCAGACCAGGTGGGCTGATACGGCTGCATACAAGGCTGCAAACAAACCGTTGCAGGATGTCCATTCACTTTGGACACACTGTGCAAGTATATCAGCTATCTCTGAGGATGAATGCCCTGTGGACTCTTGGGTGTTTGCCAAAAGCGGGCCAGTATGTATTTTCATTTTATAATTTCACTGCAGGATGTCCAAGTTTGTCATTGATTTTTAATTTTTAGACAACAGTTGTCGGTCAAATCATCGAAATTCTGCTCAACACAGAACACAAGATTCTCACTGTCATTCAGCAGTATCAAATTGCTGCTGAGAGAGACCCAGTCTATGGGATGCCAGTGCTAATGAAACGCTTTGGTGAGCAAGAACTCGTTGTCATCCAACAGAAGGTTCTTTTTTTCTGTTCAATGATCTTACAACCAACACTGATATCTGATGAATAGGAAGTATTATTTATTACCAATGTGCAGCATGACTGCCGAGAGGGGAAGTGTGGCCCAACGGGGAAGAAGATGCAATTGCAAGAGCGGCAAGAATCTGGCGTTGAGATTCAAGTTATCGAACACACGGAATTGGACCGCTTCATCATCAACACTCATGCCCTACACAATTCGCACCTCCTACGCAAAACGTTACCTCGAGGTCTTATACAGCCCATTCCGTACAGCACCAACCGTCGTGAGATGCACGACAAGCTTGCAGCATCTTTGCGAGAAACTCAGAGTGCTAAAAGATCCGATGCGCGTGACCGAGCGGCGACAACCAGAGCCAGAAAGAAGGACTCGGTCATAACAGCCAATGTACTTAACACGAGTACACCATCTGTCGATGCCGGAAGTAGCAAGGAGGGACTTGGAGGAATCGAGACGGAGCGAGCATCCAAGCGTCGTCGACGTACCAACACTGTTACACAACCGATGGTGTGACTTCTCATAGCTACATGAGGGCCAGTTTCGGTGTCAGGTGTGCGCGTTGTGACTTAGGATGCTGTTGATCTGTCGACATCTCCTTGACATGGTGAAAAGACATGTGTAAACAATACTTCGTTCGGATTTGTGCCAGAGCAGAAATAGTATGTACCCTAGGCTCTAGTTCAATCTGGGGGGTGGATGGGTGGCTAGAAATTGATGAGTGTAACTAATGATGGCTGCTATATGTCCATTTTTAAGACAGCTATATACGTGCACAATTTTGTAAGGTGGGAGGGTGTATGGCAGCCATCGAAACAGCCCAGCGCGTGTCCAGCCCACAGCCACCTAATGACATCCGCGCGACCCACTGACGAACACGTTTCTTACTCATCTCTGGCCCAGCTTCTAGAGGTTGGAGGTTTAGCTTTATATAGCTTCATTTTCTAGTGTATTCAAGCGGCCGAAACAGTTACCACTCTGCAAGACCTCGCCATAATTGAAGGTTACGAGCGGAACTCACGGGGACACCATACTTTACTTATCGGCGTTGACACCAAGTGCGTAGAAAACCAAATCTCTCACAATTTTCCAACCTCTCATTATGACTGGGTTATTAGTGCCATTATGTCGCAATGTATTGCTGCGGCACATGCGAACGGCCACATTCATGGTCCCGGACACCTCCAAATTTTCTTTTTCAAGCTTTGCAAGTTTCTACGAAGCCCAATCACATGGATTTTCGTTTTTGACGGTCCGAATCGCCCTACCATCAAGCGGGGTAAGGTCGTAAATGGCTCAACCACACCGTCGTGGGTTGGCCCATGCAAAACCCTCATTGAGTGCTTCGGATTCCATGTTCATCAGGCAAGTGCCGCACGTCTGGTTGATGAGATTCTTCTTGAACTGTATCAGGCTCCTGGAGAGGCAGAAGCCAAGCTCGCAAAACTAAGCTCTCAAGGAATTATTGACCTAATCTTTACTACAGATGGCGATGCCTTTGTATTTGGAGGTTTATGTGTGTTGCGAAGGTATGATGACTCTTTAATTTGCTTCACCATGATTGTAACGCATCTCATTTAGCACATCCATAAAAAATAAAGCAACTGAAGACCTGGACGAGATCAGCCTCTACACTGCAGACGCTATTGAAGGAACTGAGGGGTTGACGCTTGGCGGACTCCTGCTGTTCACCTTGCTAAGTGGCGGTGATTATGCAGCAGGGTTGGAAGGTTGTGGGGAGCTCACCGCTCACGGGCTCGCCAAATGTGGCTTTGGAGACGAGCTTCTCACAGCCTTAAACACCTTGGATGATGAAAATCTAACTGAATTTTTGGAAGCCTGGGTAGCCGGTATCCGCGACGAACTGGTTTCAAATAGCCAGGGCTTCCTTCCATCACGTCGACCAGGACTTGCAGCTACCATTCCTCCTGAATTCCCCCCCTTGAACGTTATCAATTTTTACATCCGACCTGAAACGAGCAAATCATTCCCATTCAGCCTGGATTGAAAACCTCGCGAGATTCGCATCAACAAGCTTGCATCATTTGGAGCTAAATACCTTGGTTGGACCGATGCAACCGCTCTTTTTAAAACATTCCATTCAAATGTTTGGGAGGGTGTATTTCTGCAAATGCTTATTTCTGTAAGAAGTGTCGTTTCTCATTCAAGCCCCAAAAACTGAATTTTCTTTTCTTCACAGCACTGGGTACTCTATGATGCAAACATGCATATCATGCGAACGGATAACATGAATACCACGATCATGGAACTTCAACCGAAGCAGCGCCAGACCCGACGCAAGTCGGATATTAGTTCTTGGTATCGTGTTAGGATTTCAACCGGCAACTTTGTTGAGTTAATGGGCTTCCGTTACAAAATAGAGGGAGAAACCACACTCAAGGTTTGGGTTCCAACTGCTCTATTGCCAGACAACGTAGTTCCTGTGACTTTGAAAAAAGGCAAAGAAAAAAGGACAGTCAAACAGCATGGTGCAAAGTTGGACGCACCCAGGATGGATGCTATTCGACCCACAGGGGACGGTGGGGAGTCTCCAATTGTTGACCTTCCCCTATTCCTGCCAGTCCCTTTACCTCCCCGAGTGCCAACCGAGCCGCCCAAGCGTTCCTTGGTTCTGAACATGCTCGACTTCAAGGAACGAAAAGATGAGCCACCTATGAACCCAATCATTGACCTCACAAGCGAGGACTCGAGCAGACTCAAAACAGGATCCAGCTGCTACCACATCTTCCCTCCTGTCATCGACCTCACTGTTGAGGACTCGAGTGCACATGCTGAATCCTCTGCAATGGCTGTTCAGCGCAGCAACCGCAAGGGTACTGATTCCGGTGGTAATTCGGACATTATCTACATCAGTGACTAAAGAAATCAAGCCGGCAATTGTTACCTCAGGCTACAGTATGTTAAACACATGTACAAAAGCATGTATGAAGTATAATCAACAGAGAGTTTACGACAGCTTAGGAAGTTTAAACACTGAAGAAAACGCACTGCACAGTCCTCGTTGGGTCTGGAATGTACTTAGGTGAATCCAAGAAGCAATTCTTGGAGTACAGCTAATTATTGAAAGGAATACATATACAGCATAATAAAATACTGATCCCTTTCAGGTTTTAACTTGCCATTCCTTCCCAAACATCCCAACACTAAAATTCCAACGTTCCAAACGTCAAGAAGCCTTGGTGAGCATGAGGAGCAGGGGATGCGGTTGCTTGGGCGGAGGAACCAGGAGGCAGTGAGTGGTCACATCGAAAAGCGGACGAGTTGAAGCTAGCGACGAGCAAGGAAGTGGTGAAGAGCGCGCAGCTTGGATGCCAGGTAGGTGAGTGAGGCTGAGGTGAAAGGACGGGAGGACAGGAGGACGGAGCGGGGACGGCGAGTCAGGTGGTCCGCCCACGCCAAAGCGATGTGACGATGACGAACGGCCACCAGCCAAAGCGTGGTGACGAGGTGGAGCGAGGCCGGAGGACGAACGCAGGCAGAGCTCTGTGACGAGGGCGAAAGAGAGTGGCTGACGTAAGGTGTCGAGCGGTGACGCCGAACGGGGACGGCGTCACGTCGTCATGGGGAAAGCGCCTGAGAACAGTTGTTTTTCATTCCTTATTGCATCGTCACGGTACGCCAATATTATTAGAAGGGGATTCTGTCTTGCTATGTTACAACATGCTCTAAAAAGGTCCAAGTCCAATAAATAGTATCTCCATTGAAAGCGTCCCATATAATAACTTAACGTCCAACCACCCACTTCCTCAACCTCTCCGCACACCAAGGTGAGCAATATTCGATCTCAACCCGTCCGAGAACGGCGCCGCAGCGCGTTTTATTATCAGAGCCGTTGCCAATGCTACATCCATCCACAGTCAATTGAGTCCTCAGGTGCAGACGACGATATAGACATACCAAAAATACAACTTGCCAACCCCAAACTTCCTGCAAGCGCCGGCGTAGCACACGCATACCCCCTCGTAACTGAATTGGTGAAATTTCTGTGGCACGCCTTGTGGATTTGGGCGAGGAGAAGAATCCCAAACACTAGATGTTCCCGAATTTCATGTCAGTGAGACCAGCGGATCTGTTATAGAACTTGAACGCACCCAATTGACTGAACGCAATAAAACAGAAAGAGCTGAAATGGACATAAGCCCTCGTCAAGAAATGGGTCGACTCCGGTCTTTTATGGTACGATATCCTATCCATGAAACCAACAGTTAACCCCGTGTTGAAATCAAATGAATGGGAAGTAGTGCGTACAACACGAAAATCCACAACCACATCAACACAGAGATACCCGATGAAACCATCCCGCACCGAACTGAGAGCACGTCAATAATTTGAAAATCGAGCTAGGGAGGGAATGCAGTACACAGCGTCTTATTCGAGGAGAGGTTATCCCCGCTTGTCCCTGCCATGAGCGCGGATATGGATTGGAGGACGATAAGTCCGAGAGTCGCGCCTAAAATGACCGTGAAATCAGATTGAAGATCCTAGGGAAACAAGAAGAAAGACGAACCATAAAATCCCCAGCGGAGCCTCAGGCTCATGGTGAATGATCGTAAAAGAGAAGCAAGGTGAACGTTTTGGTAGGTCTGGGGGACTTTATTTAAGCACGATCATTATCATGCTAACTGCGTACGCCGGTGTTGCATCATGATGCTCCAAGCCAATAATCACTGCGGACGATGGGCGGAGTCGCCAAGCACCCTGCATTTCGCTTTCGGAGAATAGCCAACATGCTGTGCAACGGCTTCTAGACCTACAGATCCGAAAGTATCGTAGTTATTTATGCACTTTGTAATTTGCATCTCAACACGTGGGGCGTGGAGGAAGATATTCGATACTCGCATTGTGAAGGATACGTTTTATACAGCAATGTGTCCATTCCGCGTTACCTACCGAAAAGGCCGAATGAGTAAAACAGATTCCTCGCATATGGATCCCACAAATTGAATAGGGAGCAAAGGGGAAAAAACTCTACAGCCCACCTCATTCACCTAGAATATTACTTGACCGCTTTCATTGGCCGCTGATAGGCTTCCCTCTTGACGATCAACTGCAACTCCGGACACGAGCCCCACAACGCATCTAATCTCCAGTTCCATTACCCTCCTTCCCTTGGAGCAAAAACGGCGTATACGCAACCCCAAACAAACCAAAGTACTCTTGTTGTGAGTACTAACCCGACACATGCGAAGCACTGAAGTACTGAAGTATTACTGACCTATGCGCAATAGCCATGCCCCCCACTCCATAGAAGTCGGTGTCCGCGCGAGAAGAGACGAGGAACCTAATGAGTTTGGTGTTTCTCACCCTAGGCCTTTGCCCTCAATAGTTCGATATTGGCTTAGAAACCTTTGGAAAGAAGGCAGGTGTTAGTAACCATCGTCGTCGGTTGCATCTGATCCAAACTTACAAGACCCCAATGAGCGATCCGTATGTGTGACGTTGCGGCAGCCCGTGGCGGCGACGAGCTATGGATAGATACGCACGACGGAGGATCTACGCTGTGTGAGCGCTGAGTCCGGAGACAACGAATTCTTGTGGTACGGGCAGAGATTGGGGCCACTGGGTGGTACATATACCATGTACGTAACGACGAATAGGGCGTCGGGATTGGGGTAACCGAGAGGCTCTAAGCGCTGATCGAGCTTTGGGGACCGAATAGCCGAATAGGTGGGCGCAAACGATGAGACGATCGATGCATGTGAGACGTCAGCCTGCGGTGGCAAAGAGGCGATGTTGGATCAACGAGCTCAGTATGGAGGCGAGTTCGTTGACAGGATTAAATGATGGTGAAATCTCCTTCGTGAGTCGATGCAGAGGGGGTGCAAAGTGGCGGGGTCGTGCGGGTCATGATGGACCTAGGAAAGACGGTACAAGCATCGAAGTTGGGCTTGCGTTGGCGTTGAGAGATGGCCGTTATCCCCACTCTCCAGCTCTCTGACTGGAGCTTGCGCTTATGAACGGTGGACGGCAGGGACCTAGCAGAGCAGCCTGGAGCTTTTCGAGAGGGTATTACCGTCGTAGAGCTGGGCATCGTTAAAAACGCCCGCCACGTCTGCAATGGAAAGGCCGTTTAGGGCGTTGTCGACTTGTAAAAACGAAATACTGACGATCAACTTGAACTAACGGAGTCTCCTCCGTGTTATGCCAAGTGGCTTCAAGCGGGGGAGTCCAAAGATGGAATTGGAGCAAAAAAAAGCCGATTCCAATCCTGTTTATACCCCGTAAGCATCCAGTAAACCCCCCACATACAAGATATTAATTATCGTACCAGTGGAAATCTGTGGCTTGCGGTCTTGTACGCTTTACAAGCATGGCGCTCGTAAACGAAGTTAAGTGGACCGGAAGTGTCACAGAATTATGGATATATTAGACTAACGGGGGCATGCGGAAGAGGAGGGGATGAAAGTATAGTTGCGGAACAGAAGGGCAAAATGAGGTAAGGTAGGAAGGGGAGCAAGGCCAACGGAAGGAGGAAACTCACTCAGAGCTGATGCACTCGAACATCTTTGAGGTGAAGCCCATGTAGCGCATCCTTTAAATGCCAGCAGCTCCCCAATCTCCCCGTATCGGTACAAGTTGACGAAGGCGGTTATCTTGATCACAGCGGGAGGTCGGGTCTCCAGGCGATGTCGGCAGTAGCTGAACGACCCAGAGAGAAAACATTGGACGACGTCCCATTCGACGAGGAGGGTTCGCGGCGCAGTTAAATCCATGCAAGGTATCCTGGCGTCTTCCGCACAGCCACACGCCCAACAAGCACGACCGTGACCACGCATCTTCCTTTCGTTCGTCCCTTGGAGTTTCAATTTCCCTCAGTCTTGAGATATGTTCGTCGTCTTGCTTCTCTCACACACTTCTCCGTTGACCGCCATCCTTGTGGCCTGACTTGACGCCGAACCACTGTGGGAGGGACCTCAATCTCAGGAATAGGGCTGCGCACCGTCCGTCTGACGGACACGGTCGTCTAATCGACGGGCGTCGACAGGGGCGGTTCAACCAGCAACCGTCCGTCTGGGTCACCCAAGCAGAAGCAAACGGAGACGGACTGATATAAAACGGCCGTCAACGGATGTAGACGGACGTCAATTGTATTGACGTTGACAAATTTTAGTGATACATGGAATAAATGATATTACAAAGGTATTAAAAGTTACTATCTAGCAGCGTACTAGCTCGTACTAGGGCGGCATTTGTCTGTGCGCGTGTCGTCTCTTAGCGAACTTCATCACACAGGATGGAAACTACTAGTAGCACAATGTAATAAACAGATGAGTACTGATTGCAAAGTACATACAAAGCAGAAATTTACTCAATACCTACCTACTACGGTCCACGATGAGATCGATCTTTCGGTCTTGATGAGTGCTTTTGCTGAAAGGTTTCATTCCTAGTGATCAACTAGTGATAATTAGATAATAATAATAAATTAAGTATCCGAAAATTGAAAAAGCAACAGGGGCTGCACGTACATGAAGAAATATTTGAAGGACAGATCGCCGGTTTCAGAAAAAAAGTTCACGGGGTACGTGGGGGTTGGAAGGCGATAGCGGCCTTGGTGCAATTCTCATTTCAAACTCCGCATATGCACTGGTGACGCCCGTCAACGCCGTTAACGCCCGTCACTCAACGGAAACAGACGGCCTTTCCCCGTACGTCTACCGTACGTCAGGAGACTTGCGACAGGCCCAGACGGTACGGTGACGGTGCCCGTCTGACGGACCCGTCTATCCGTCTAAGACGGACACGGTGAGCAGCCCTACTCAGGAACGTCAGCTGACTCCACTGGCAGTGTGAAACGGTCCGTTGCCCATTGAAGATTGACGCCGCACAGCATCGATTCTCTCTTCTGAACCACCATGTCTGATCCCATTGACCCCCGCGAAAATCGTTTGAAACGCAAGCTCGAGGAATTGCCCGATGAAGGCACGATCGCTGACCACCCACGTAATAAACGCTATGGTGGTTTGAGGTTAGAGTTCATGATCTCGGGCTATTAGATGAATATTAATGTGAATCCGTCAGCCCCAGCTCCGCCCCGCCTAGCTTGATAATTCCATCTTCAACCATCAGTGCAGCGGACATAGCCATGGCAGGCAGGAGTAAGATACATTCTAATCTTCCTGCATCGAAGTGAGCATTGATTGCTCGTCAAATCAAATTTCCAGGTGATCAGGTTGATGTCTCCGCGGGTGGAGGGCTCAAGTGCTCGCAACAAGTTTTACCTATCTCCACTGGTTTGCATTAACCTCAAACCTCTGTCATTCATCATTGGTAACACTGATATAGATATCCTGAGTTCTTACCTGCCTACCACTCTGTCAATCACCCCTGTTCTCGAAATGACTGTTGCCTGTGAGATACCCCTCAATCTCTTTGCTGTAAAGTTCATACTAACCTTCATCAATTCTTATCTCACAGTTGATCAGATTGAAGGTCCCATGCAAGGAGCTGCTGATTCCTTGTAACACCCTTCTCCTATCTTGACAGGTTCATGCTTGCTTCAAATCTCTATATTCCATTTCTGATAACACTGTTTAGATTTTCCAAGTTCTGACCTGCCTATCTCTCTATCCATTCCTTCTGTTAAGAATGCAGAACTGATTCCAGCTAGTCAGTACTCTTATAAATATAGTTCAGGCTTGCTCAAATTGGACAGACCATGCAGAGTCCTCAACAAACTTTCAAGCTGACATCATAAACAACATTTCAGCTCAAAATGTGAATGCAGGCCCTAACTATGGTTTGTTGTATTTGGATTATCACATTATATTGTTTTCACTTATATTTTAATAGGTACCATCAATCAAGGTAAGTAGTAAGAACAGTATTGTGTCCATCTTAATGTTATTTGTGATTGGTAGGTGTGGACCCAAATATTCAAATCACTCTTGAGATGATCAGGGATGAGCAACTGGGTATTACTGAAGGTTCTTAGCTCAAATATGTAATTGACTTCATTCTTTTTTACAGGGAAGGAGATTTATAAGTGGCTTTCTCCACCCAAGGAGTCTATTAACTACAATGCTGCACTTGCAATTCTGGAGAGTCAGCCAGACACCTGTCAATGGTTTCTCAAGGGAAATACATTTTATGGGTGGCTCAAACAGCCAGGCTTTCTCTGGATCAAAGGAAAATGTAAGTTTTCTGTCAAAATTGGTAAATTTATACATTATTGACAGTCTATCCAGCTGGCTCTGGGAAAACCATCTTAAGGTTGATTATTTCAACATTTTTAAGAAATTTAATTGAAATTTCTCTTCACAGCTCAGCAATAATTCACATTATCCTTGAGAGATTCAATTCTTCTACTGCATATTTCTTTTTTGATGGAAGAGACTCACAGAAGGATTTCCAGTTGCATGATAAACTACTGCGATCACTCATCTGGCAATTCTCTCTGAAGTGTGAGGGTAGACTGCCTAAAGTCTTAGTGAATCTGTATGCTGGCTGTGGCAATGGCCATAAAGAGCCAACTCTGGGTGAACTGCAGAATACTCTTCATATAATTCTTGATGGCTTTAGCTCATCATTCATTATTCTGGATGCTCTTGATGAATGTACTGAAAGAGAAAAACTTTTTAACTGGATTCAGACTTTTATTCTGGAGAAAAATAAAAATCTTGGGCTTCACTTGATAGTTACTAGTCGCCCAGAACAGGAGATTGAGGACAAGCTCAAGTATTCTCAGTATCTTGACCTGGTCAAGGAATCTGAGAATCATGATCTTGTAGCCTATCTTGACTATCAGCTTCAGAATGACTCTGACTTGAAAAAATGGAATTTTGACACTTGAGAGCAAATAAAGCTGAAGTTAATGGAACAAGCAGATGGAATGTATGTTTGTTATCAACATCATGATAGGATGATTGTTAAAAACACAATTTTAGGTTTCGTTGGGTTGCATTGCAATTAGATGAGCTTAAAAAGTGCCGGACTAAGACTAATCTGAAAAAGCAGCTATCTGATTTACCCCAGGGTTTGGATAAAACCTATGATCAAATCTTGCTGGGAATCAATGAAAAAGATCATGGTTATGCTAAAACCTTTCTACAGTGGCTGTGTTTTGCTGTTCGTCCACTTGAACTGACAGAACTGGCTGCAACTTCTGCTGTTGATCTTTCTGCTGAGAATGGACCAGAGTACAACTCTGATAATGAACTTCAAGATATCAAGGATGTCTTGAAAATATGTTCTAGTTTTATTATGAACTCAGAAGGTATGGCTTAGAAGAATAATAGATTGAAATGAGCACTAACTATCAAGTAGGTTTTATCAAGCTTTCTCACTTTTCTGTCAAAGAATATCTCACATCTCAGTATATTCAAAGCCATAATGTGAAGCAAGTCAGATACTTCAGTTTCAGTGAGGAGCTATCACACTCTGTCATATCTCAAATCTGTCTGGCCTATCTTCTGCAATTCAACACATCTGAGCCACTTGATAAAAATCTGGATATATCTTCCCCTCTTGCAAACTATGCTGCAGAACACTGGATCATACATGCACATTCTGGTTGCAAGAGTCAATCTCAGTCATCTTCAATATTTGAATTGATGATGAAGCTTCTGACAGATGTAAATAATGCTTTTGTGAACTGGGTTCGAATTTATGATATAGATAGACACTATGCACATCTACACAGACAGAGGGATAAGATTGCTAAACCACTATACTATGCATCACTGGCTGGACTAACTGAAGCATCATATGTTTTGTTGGGAATGAGGGCAGATGTAAATGCACTGGGAGGACGCTATGGAAATGCACTCCAGGCAGCATCATATAGAGGCCATGAGGCAATTGCAAAGCTGCTCATAGACAAGGGAGCAGATGTAAATGCCCAGGGAGGAGAGTATGGAAATGCACTCCAGGCAGCATCAGCAGAAAGCAAAGAGGCAATCACAAAGCTGCTCATAGACAAGGGAGCAGATGTAAATGCCCAGGGAGGAGAGTATGGAAATGCACTCCAGGCAGCATCATATGGAGGCCATGAGGCAATTGCAAAGCTGCTCATAGACAAGGGAGCAGATG